AGTTGGTGCTAAAGTGTCATCTAACTGTTCTGAGATGCCATGTATCACAATGTCACTAGAGGGCCAAATCCGCTCATATCCGCCATCACATTTCACTTATATGTAGGGAAGTTGAAACAAAAATGAAAAGGAATGAGGGAAGTTGTTGAGTTGATTTCATTCTAATTTTGTGAATCAATTGAATAGTTAAGAAGAGACCAATCACTATGCCCACCATCCCTCTCCTCAAACTTCATTTCAAAGACTTCACGCCCAGAAGAAGAAACCGATGCTTCAATACTCCTAGGAAAATTCACATTCCTCATGAACAAAAGTCGATACTTCACATTCCATAGAGTATACGCCCAATATTTCTAGACAACAACTAATTCACTAAAAATCAAATTTTGTAATAAAACATGACAAAGGACACAAAAGGGATAAGATTAATGTGGTAGATTTAGTTTCTGTTACCCGGTAATGATGGACGAAACAAGGTGGTGATCCAGGAAATGATTTGAAATCCTAGTTGTGATGAAGAATTGATTGGAAGGAAGCATACCAAGCATTTATTGAGATGGTATGGTTAGCAGATCGAATCCATTCCCTTGGAGGTGATTAAGGGTGTCAATGGACCGGTTTTCGATGGACCTGTCCAGTCCAAAATCAATTTGAACGGATTAGACAGACCAATAAAACATATTGGATTGGACCAATATGGTTAAAATATTTATTAGATTGGATTGGACCTGGCCCATTCATAATAAATTTATATTGAATTGGGTTGGATTAAGCCAACATCTGGTCCATTGATATAACTTATAAGATAAGAATATAGGTGTCAATGGACCATTTTGTGTTGAAACCAATCTAAACCAAAACAAATTTGAACAGATTAGATGGTCCAGACATTGAATTGGACCAGCCCAAAATGGTCCAAAATATTCATTGGACTGGATTGAAACTGGTCCATTTATAATGGATTCACATTGGACTGGATCAGATTGGACTAAATCCAGTCCAATTGACACCCCTAGAGGTGATGCAGGTGAGAAGAAGATTTATGTGAACAATGGAGGTGTCAGTGAGAGAGATAGTGATGAAATGATGGCAAAAACCAAAACAAGCTTGTATTCCTTGACAGGAGGAAGCAGTTTGAGCTGGAGGAGTTGCTTCGAACATCACACGGGAGATAAGAATGGTCTATAAGGCAATATTGGAAGATGGGTGTACATTGGCAGTGAAGAGTTCGCAGAAGCGAACCCCCATGCGAGGAAGGAATGCTAAGGAAATATGGATTTGATCAGCAAGTATCAATATCAATCCTAGTTCGTCTCATGTTTAAGAAATAAAATTTTTCCATGGAAGACTTAGTGGTGGCAAAAATGCAAAACAGTGGCATGTTTTGAAAATTTATAGAATAGTTAAGTTTTTTATCCAATTTAACAGCAAGACTTAATGAAAATCGAATTTCTGAAATTTCAAGGGTACTTTACGTAGGTTTTGAAACATTAGAGGTAGTTTAAGTAATTGTCAAATAGTTTAGTAATACTTTTAAATAATTTACATTTAATTTTAATTATTTATAATATAGCAAATGGGTAGGTTCTACCCAAACCAAATGGATGGAGCTGACCTCAGACTAGCCTTGAACCAACCCTACCAAATCTACTATAGGGTAGGGTTTGGTTCCAAATTCTTGGAACTGACCCCCACCCAAGCTGGTTCCAGGGTCTAGGGGTTTACCCTACCTAAACTGACCCGAAGATCCGGCCTTGGCGGAACTGCTCTTGGAACCAAACTTACATTGAAATAAGTCCCAAAATACTTTGAGAATGTGATGATTTGAACCCAAGTACTCATAGTTCCAAAGGCCATGGTTTCACTTGATTATTGAGTCATTTAAGTGATTTGGTCATTCTTTTCTTCATTTTATTATTTGAATGTGTATACTAAGTAATGTAAATGGTAATGGTTACAAAATTTAAATTATAATGATAAGTTTTGAACCATATATTAATATATTATGATAATCTATATATTAAATTACACAATTCAATTAATAAATATAATATAAGTTTTCAACTATATATTATAACTATTGAAAATCAAGTTTTTCGGAAATTTGTTCCATTGTTATTTATTTATTTATTTTTTTTTTGGAAGGGGGAGGGATTAAAGAAATAACAGGTTCCATGGATAGACCTTGGAACCGGCCCCAAAACCGTAAAGGCCAAAATCGACCTTTAGAGGGAAGATCTTGTTTCCAAAAAATTGAAACCAACCCCTATAGAGTAGCTTCCAGGTTCTGCCTTGGAACCGAACTGATCCATCCTCACCCCTAATGATACTTTATATCATATGATGTAACATATGAGAAAAAAAATATTGTGTGAGCCTAGTCTTTTTTCGTATTTTGTATGGGCCTAGGTTGGGTTTAACATGTCTTGGCTTTGGGCCTATAGCATTGAATAATATGTCTACCCAACACTCCATGGTTGTCTATTCTTATTTAGATGAAGACAAGGTCTTCATTCTAATAAGCTATTCTATATATATAAAGCAACTTGGTCCACGTGGGCTTCTCTCTCCATAAAAACTCATGCACCCCAAAATCCCCTTTAGAATTTTCTAAATTTTTTGAATTTTTTAATTCAACATAATACCCACATTCAACCACTTTGGTTTCAGACTTTCTCACTCCCAACTAAAAGTTTTCTTAAAATCTCTCTCTTCTCTCTCTCTCTCTCTCTCTCTCTCTCTCTCATGTTCCCAATCACTTAGCCAATTCCCTCCTAAAATTACTCCTAAACTATGTCTCCCACCTAAAATTCCTCTTAATACACCTCTTTATCTATATTACATTCCCAATAAACCCTCTAAAAACCAAAAATGTGGTTAAATTAATTTGGGTAGTTAAAATAATTTATGAAATATTTTTTATATTTTCAATAATTACTGATATTATTGAATATTATTCAGTAAATATCAACACTTAAACTATAACTTTTCATAATTTTTATAAATTGGAAAATTTAATTACTAAAAACTACTTGCTGAAAATTACTGATTTTGGTAAGTTAATTTCAAAACTTTGAAAATTAATATTGAAATCAATAATATGTCAAAAGATTAATAATTAATTAAAATATTATTAAATACAAATTTAATAATTAAAAAGTATTGGTAATTTTTCATTAGAAAGTTTACTTCAATAAATATAGATTTATTTTTTTAATTTTAAGTAATTTTAATATTATCAGTATTTTTTATCAATAAGTATTTATTAATATTTTCAGTAATTTTGGTCAATTTATTAATATTTAATGATATTATCTGATAATAATTAAAAAATTTCAGTAAAGTTTTACTAGAAAATTAGTTCCAATAAATATAAATTTATTTTTTTATATTTTTAGTAATTTTGATGCTTACTATAATTTTCAGCAATAATTACTGATTTTGGTCAATTTATTAATAGTAAATGATATTATCAGGTAACAATTAAAAAAAATCAGTAATTTTTAGTGGAAAATTAATTTCAATAAATAAAAATTTATTTTTATATTTTCAGTAATTTTGATACTTACTATAATTTTTAGCAATAATTAGTGATTTTGGTAATTGAATTACTAAAAGTTATTGATTTTGGTAATTGAATTTAGTGAAAGTTAAATTATAAAACTTCCAGTTATTCAAATAAATAATTGGAAAATTTTAACAGCTTCCATAAGTGTTGGGTACTACATTTAGAATTACCATAATTATTGGAACTATATTTATGGGAATGGGTGGGTTCAGGACGGGTAGCATACTCCCTATCCCGAACCCAAACCTGAGTTTTAGATTAATCCCCATCTCTGACCCCATTCCCCATCGGGAAAAATTTATTTTGCATCCCCAGTACCCGATGGAGACAGGTTCCCCATCGAAGACCTGAATCCCCGAATTTTTAATTAAAAGTTTGCTTTTAGAAAAGGTATTTAATTAAAATAAAGGATAAATTCAAATTCAAATAACATTTTAAATATATTTTGATATATATAATATTATAAATAACATAAATAATACTATATATTTAATATATATAACCGGGTCGGGGCGGGGTGTGGACTTCACTCCCCATCCCCACCTGGTTGGGGAGGCCGGATAATCGATGGGTATGAGAAAAATTGCCATCCCTACCCTATAGTTGTTTAGCCTCATAGATGAATAAGTTTTAAGCCCACTAAGCCCTAACATGTTTTTCTTGTGTATCACATTTGAACCCACTGATTAGTTGATATAAGACAACACTCACTATTTTTTATTGAATGTAAACGAGTAACAAGAATAACAGTAGAACTGAAGAAAATAAAGATCACTACATGATTCTCAGGATTGATCCTTATTCTATTTTTGATAATTTCTCTTGCAGCTGAAGTGGTTACAAAATGAGGTATATCCTATTGAGGATAGAGGTATAGTATGATACAAAATGGAGGTTGTGTTGTTCTCAGACTCACATCTATATAATAATAGTTTACTCTGGAAAATAACCTATGCACTCTTATGAGTTGACTAACATGTCAATTTTTGAGCCCAGAAATTTCCAGAGAAAGAAAAGAAGCAGCAGCCAAATTTGATTACTATGATTTATGATTTATAGAGGAAAGAGACTTTGTTATTAAACTTTCTTTTCCACATTTATAGATGAGAAAAAAAAAGATTTGGTTCTTCTTAGACATTCTTCCACCCTGTCATTACCTTGCCGTTACTAAGATTTAAGATTTTATTTTGAACACTTTCCACCAAAACATACATATGGAAAAAAATATGCACGAATTATGGCTAGGTTTGGTATTATAATAGTTGGTTTATTAGAAAATTAAGAAAAGAGAAAACATAAAAACCTACATTGTCTCGGATTAAAATGTTGTTTTTAAGGTCATCAGCTACCAAGAAGCCACAATTTGATAAACTCTTCATCATGGCAATTACTTCATCAAATAGATAACAAGGATAAGAAGCTCAATCATTTATTATATACTTGTACTTGGATTGCCAGATTGTGGAGAGGAGATTCTTTGTTCATGCACTGGTTCTTCGACTTCTTCTAGTGGAACTGTTTGGTTGTGAACTCTTGAAGTGATTTGTGAATCGTTTGTATTGCTTGACATTTCAGTACCCTCAGCTTCATTTATAGGGTGAATCCTGGACTCAGCTCTTCTAAAAGTATGAGAGCTAAGATCCTTTTGATCAAAGCGTTGTGCCATGGAGAGAATTTTTTCCCAAATTGGCTTTGGGGAAGCTGTGCTACTGTTTGCAGCTTGCCTTTGTTCATAAAGAAATTGAATTAGGAATATTAGAAGTGAAGAAACCGAAGCAAGTCCTGTGATGAGGAATAGTCCCCAGAAGCTCCTGAGGCTAAGACTTGTTGAACTCGATGAAACCTCTGTGCTTTGATCTTGGCATTGGGTTTTCTTCTGAAACCATGTTCCTTCAATTTTATCCATTTCATCTCCTTCCTTGAGGTTTAGGATTGCTTTCGAAAAATATGGCACCAAAGGAGAACCAGTTGGGAAGACCTGGACAGTGTCAGACCAAGTAAGGAAATTAAAGCTTACAAACAAGTTTACCTGGTTTATATTATCTAAGGAGTCACATAAGCTAATCTGGCATTTGGGGTTTGTAAGAAAAAGAAAAAGAATGTAAAATCTTCTAACCATTCCCTCAATCATTTAAAAGCATAAGCTGTTAGGTGAGTTCCTTCAATAGGTAGTTATTCTCTAATGCGTCCCTACACAAAAAAGCCCATCTGGATTGAAGTGTGAATAAGCACAGACCCACCCATACCTTGTGCTGAAACTTAATTAATTATAATGAGGATGACACAATCATTCAACCTAAAAACTTAAGCTGTACATGTTAGGTGAGGTCCTTGTTTGACAAGAAAATTCTGAGTGTTCAAAGTGCCCATAGCTAAGAGAAGGGAGAGACTTACAAAACCAAATCCATCCGTCTTGTAGGTCGGACCGACCATGGAGTACTTAGAGCAATATTTCGCGAGAAAGAGCTTGAGGTAGGGAATCTCATCAATAATAGCAGCAACTCCACCATTCTGACTTCCTTTAGATAAGGCCTCATGATATTGCTCTGGAGTACTGTAAGACCTCAGTTTGTTTTCATCCAAATTCAACCTTTTTATCAGCAGCCCCTTCACAAATGAATCCTTTCTGGTATCCCACATAGTATCCCTTGTCTTTCAGTTCAAGTATATCCGTCAGCATTGGTTGTAACTGCTGTACTGTCAGCATGGACGTAAGGCTTGCAGTATAGCTTTGGGCAAGGATGAGAACCACGAACACCCATATAATCAGCACAAACCTTGACAAGTTGTTAACTACTCTCTCCCCTGCAAAACCATCAACATAATGCAGCTTATTTAGTTACTGAAACCACAATCTGAACTGCATTGTGAAATGAAAGCATAACACAAAGCTTATTAGGGTTCAATTACTATGTGCAAATACAAGTGTTGAGAAGGAAAACCAAAAGGTCATCCCAATTTGTTGAGTGGGAGGTCCCCTGAAATCTGTATTAACACGATGTTCCAGAATCCAAACCACAATGCCCGTGAAGACAAAAGCTGCCCCAGTTGTCAACCAAAGCTCCCAGGTTAATGGCTTCAAGAAAATCCAAGCATTTCCACTCTTGTCATTTCTGATTGGCACCACCATCGACACCCCAGATTCAGAATATGGCAATGTGAAGTCAACAAACCGAGATCGGTTAGCCACAATTGTTATGTCTCCAACGACAGCATCAAATTTCTGTTCGATATACCAACAGAAAATAAATGGATAATCAATAAAAATCTGATTAAGAAATACCAGTTTCCGTTTGGATAAGCTTTTTCTTTTCAGCTTTGGGTTGTGAGAAGCAAAAGTGATCCAATAATTGTTTTGAAAGTTTGGTAGGAGTTGCTTTCAGAAACATATATAACAATCTGAAGACAAAACACTTTTAACCTACAAATCTTGAAGCTTATGCAAATGCAACCTTAGTTACTAATAATAAGGAGGAAGATCAAGCAACCCACCTTAAGATGAACCTGATAAATAAGTTCATCGTAGCTCCCAATACTTTGTCCATCGGGCTTCATATAAGGAATGAAGTGATAAGGGACTGCAAATGGCAATTTGCTTAATGCAGCAAGAAATACATCTATTGAGAAACCACTGAAGGATGTCTCATTGATTTGAGGATCAGTTGTAATCTTCAAAAATTCCTTAAATCCATCTTTCACAGGAACTCCAATCCTTAGTTTCTTCCCTTCAATGGGTATAACCCAACCCTTTGGTGTGACAAATGAGTCTCCTGGCCATATTGGGTTTCTGATGAGATTGTTCCCTGAATTTGACTTGCTTTTCCCTGGTAAATCTTGAGAAAGTCCATACTTTGGTGACCAATAGCCAATAACTCTTTCCACTTTACCAATCAAATTGAAGATTTGGAAAGCTGAAGTCTCTAGCTGCCCTTTGACCAAATGGAAATCACCACTCAATCCTTTAAATTTTGTACTTAAGATTGCTTTGAGAAGATTTGGACCCATCTGTGAGTATCCAATAGTTGCAATACTTGTTGGATTCTCACTAGCATCTCTCTTCAAGAAGCTAGTATTCATGGCTCCAACTCTTTCTACTGCCATAGCCAAAGCCCAGATTGTATCGTATGCCCATAACCCAAAGAGACTTAACTCCCCTATCTTCCTGTTTGGCTTGTCTAAGTAAAATCTCTTCTCCCACCTCGTCTTAAATTCTTCAAGTTTCGACTCTGGGATAAAAGGTTTTAAACCCAATACGCCATCCATCGAATCAATGGATGTGGAATTCATGGGATCAATTAGACTAGATAAACCATCTGTAATAATCCACACAAACCCTTCAGTCATCATTTTGTTCTCCTCTACTTGGAGAAAAAATCGAGAACCCAGAGAAGCTGTCATGTGAACCACAAAAACTCTAGTTTGCATGGTCTTCAATTGATTAAGCTCTTCCACTATTTGACCATCTTTGGCAGATGGAGGGATCACACTCCTGTAAGGCACACGAACGTCAATATCTTGGAAGGCATCAATGAGATAAGGTATGACCCCACTCCCATAGTCAGTATCTTCATAGATAGGGACAACTTCCTTCCATCCATAATTTTGGACAATGGCTTTAATGGCATTCACTTGAGATGAGTCATTTAGAGTCGTCCTAACAAAGAAAGGATTTTGAATGGGAGAAAGAGAAGGGCTTGTTGCAGAGAAAGAAATAATGGGCACCCGAGCTTTGTCGCCAAGATCAATCACAAACTTAGCTTCTGCTGATTTTTGTGGCCCTATGATAGCTTGTACTTCTTTGCTTTTCAACAAGTCGAAAGCTGCATGTTTCATGCATACAGTAAACAAATTGGTTGACATGATAGAACGATCAATCTCCACAGTATTTTATTGTCTTGTCTTAAAGCTAAAGCTATGTTTGGTTTGATAGAAAATAAGAGAGACAGAAATTTGAGGGAAAACTATTTTAATGAAATTCCTTAAAATCATTCCCTCAACTTTCTATTTCTTTCTTATTTTTCTATAATCCAAAAACAACTTATGTTTCATAAAGAGAAGTAAATATGTATGATAATATACATGAGTTAGTTTACTTCTTAATTAACTAGTTATTGATGTCAAATGATATTAATGCTTCAAAATGAGTGATATATTTTCTTAAAAACACTTGAGAAAAATATCAAGAATTAATAACTTGCTCAATGATTTCTAGAAAAGTAAGCTCTTCCATGATCTGCTCATGAGTTTCTTTACTGAAATTGCATGAACTCATCAACAGCTTAGAAATCCACAATATCTATTCTGAACTAATTGCACCGTTTCTTTTTTATTTTTTATTTTTGGTTAACCTATTTGTTATTTATATTCTATTAACTACTATTTTGTAATTAAACTTCAACAGAGTACATATATACACGAGATGACGAAAACCACGGCTGACATATATATTGATAACAAAATATATGCATATATGAACAAAAACCATTTGTTTAAAACATAGCAACCAAAGGAAAAAGAAATTAAGACATAATATAAAGAAAATAAAGAAGACAAGAAAATGCATATCAGATTCTTAACTACTTTTAACATGATATATCGAGTCAAGTCAACTGAGACTTATCCCAATCAACATATAAAGAACCCTATACATTGGGAAGCTGTTACACATATCTTTAATGACTTTGTTAAATTCTACATAAGCTTATTAATTAGTCTAGTTTGTTAACTCAAATAAGCTCCTATTGTGTCCAACAATTAAACTTCCATCCATTTTTGGGCTTGCTAATTTAAGACCCTTCTTTCCAAGTAATTCTAAAGCAAGTTCTACACATTGCAATTAGATTTCTTTGATCTCTGGGGAGACTAAATCAGCCCCCCACAAGATTTTCCCCTACAATGTCCCAGAGCACATTCCTGCCATGTATTGAGAACATTTTCTGATGATATTATCAAAAATGATGATGTAATCTTTAGGAGATTTTTTCAATACACGGTGGGGATGTGCTGTGGGACGTTGTGGGGGCAATCTCTGGGATCCCCGTGGAGCAAAATAATAAATAAATAATAAAGTAAAATTATTTCTTGTATCTTTATTGGTTATATTGATTAACATATATAATGTTTATATAATTATTAACAGTTACAGTTAGCTACTAGACTGCATTTTACACCATATATTTTGTTTTCAATGAGGGGCCAAATTCATGTTTTCTTCTCCACCAATTACTACACTATAATTAACACATGTCTTCATGACTCTCACTTGACAAAGGCAAACATCCTTTGGTGCAAATTATTAGACTGATTATCTAGATAATCGTCACTCTTATGAGGCTATTGTATCTTAATGCAACCAAACATCAGGTTGACTTTGGCTGTTGGGGCCCAACAGCATAGGCTGTTGAGATAGTTTCTGGGCTGGACACGTTCTGGGCAGTTCACTTATTTATGCCCATGCTTTGGTTTTTAATCAAAATAAATTGAGATGTAATTACTAATTTATCCATTCTCATGGTAACGTGGCATTTCCAGAAACTATCTCAACAGCCTATGCTGTTGGCCCCCAATTCCCCAAACATCTCTTAATTGCCAAAAAAGAAAAAACAAACTATTGGGTGACACGTATACACCACTAATAACCCCATGGTCCCCTCAAAGTTAGTGGTTGTTGGAATTAAATCCACATCTATGCTGAAGCGAATGAGCCCTCATTTGATGCTAAGGCTCAATTTGGAAGAAGTACAAATATAAATACGTACAGTGTAAAGACTAATAACCCCATGGTCCCCTCAAAGTTAGTGGTTGTGGGAATTAAATCCACAATTATGCTGAAGCGAACGAGCTAATATACTAACTGAGACAATCACCCCTCATTTGATGCTAAGACTCAATTTGGAAGAACTACAAATATAAATATGTACGGTGTAAAGACATGCAAATAGAAGGTTTTGCATTCTAGATATTTGTATTTATACTCCTCATAAACTGAGCCTAAGCTTTAATACCAATGCATTGCAATAAATGCTCCAATAATTGTGAGATAACAATATAAAGACAACTAGCAACTAATCTCATGTTTCATGTATAATGCTGGTTGAAATCCACTATCACTTTGTACAAGAACATGTCACTCAAATGCTGTTTAATCCTTATGATGGGGAGTTTTTCTGTTCCGGGTTTTCTTGAATATTAGGCCTTATTCTTTTAAGGGTCTTTTAAGGGAGATGTTACCGTGTTAGAGTTGGCCTAATATAAATAAAATGTGTAGAGAATTGAGTTACAAACTTACAACAGAATGTAGATGAGTATTAGTGTAAACATAAAACACTGCAAGTTTAAATATGAACAAACTAGATCTAGTTTAGATAATACCCAAATCAATTGGTATATATAATAAACATTTATATTCACTCAACACGTTGGAAGATTCAAAAGCTATTTCTATTTGGGGCATGGTTTTTAAAAACGAACCAGTGACTGAATTGGTCAGGGATTAAGTTATCGGTTCGAACAGTCCGACCGTTTAACCCGAATGGTTGGCCCATTTTGACAAAAAAATTTTAAAAAAATTAAAAAATTGGAAAATAGTCAAAACCGTTCGAAAGGTTCGAACGGTTAATTGGTCGGTTCAGCGGTTTGCTGACCAAAATCAACGGTTTTGAGGGAAAAACGGTTTTGGAGGAAAACAGAACCGGTCAGGTGACCGGTTCCCGGTTTTTCCAGTCCGGTCCGGTTTTGAAAACAGTGATTTGGGGTATACTTCAATATATTTTCTAAAACTTAAAACAAAATCTATTCTTGAGATTTTGGCTTAAAAACACGCTTTGATTGGGTTATTTATTAATAGGGAGAATGACGGTTCAGCCCAAGGTCAGAATTTGTAGGTTTAAAGTACTGTTGGGGTAGGTGCCAGCTCGGAATTGATGCCAATTTATGGGCAAGTATTCATGCATAGAGTGTGTGTATTTGAGATTTTGAATGTTTATAGATTTGCAGTGGGATTCAGAAATCTGCATTGGGCCTATCCGTACTTCTCCGTTTATTAATATCATGTTCAATAAATCTTATAGAATCTATGTATTACAATATTTGTTTTTTTTTTAACCATCATTTTGATGGTTTCCCAACATATGAATTGTTTTTTCATGCAAAACCAACTAGTTTTGTTTTGAAGTTTTTGTTTCTCAACAAAAAGTATAAAAAGGAAAAAGTCAAAAACAGTTAAATAACATGTTTTTTTTTTCTTGCTGATGTGAGCGTTTCAAAAATAAATGAGAACAAAAAATTTCATGGTGTTGAACACTACCTATTTTGCAACCCTTTGAACACTACTATTTGAAGGTGCTGGGTGGTAATTTGCTAGGCTTGGTGCTCAGACTGAACATATTATAATCCTTAAGACGTTTCCAAGACAACGAGTTGGAATCACCTGCCAAAAAAACACGTTCCAACATCCTCCCAACATAATCTAACATCATATATCTCATTAGGCATGGATAAGAAAATCAAGCTTTTCACAAGCTATTTGAGCTCGGCTCATGAAAGGCTCGATTTGACTTAGTCTAAAATAAGATTCCAATCAAGTTTATATTATTCATAAGCTAATAAACCTTATATTATATATAATTTTTTTATTTTTATATGTATAAACTTAAATTTTTTTATGAAGTTTGGCATACTATGGAGTTCAGTCCTGGGCTCAAGCCTCATATTTTTCTGCCAAGCCAAACTTAAATAACTAGATATTCAGCTTGGCTTGGTTCAACTTGAATCCACTCCTACATTTCACCATGAGACAGTAACCCACCATGTATAAGATGTGTGGTGTCAAATCATATTGGGAGAGCGTTGGAATGTATTTTATTGGCAAGTGATTTGGACTCCAGGCCAATATTTTGTTATTAGAATAAGAAAAATTTTCCGATTAGTACCCTATACTTTGGGCCTAGTGCCACTTTGGTCTCCGAACTTTAAAACATGACAATTCAGTATCTAAACTTTCAAAATGTGTCAATCTAGTACCTATCATTAACCAATCCATTAACCAATTGTTAAGTGACATTTAAAAAGACACAAATGCCCTTTGAGTGTCATCTAATTTTCTTTATCAACCATCCACATGTTGATAAAAATGAACAGTTTCAAATCCTTGCCTCTTTTATTCAAGAAAGTTTATGGTGACTCCAACTTTCTTGAATAGAAGATGCAAGGATATGAGACTGTTCATTTTTTGTCAATATTTGGATGGTTGATAAAGATGATTAAATGACACTCGAAGGGTATTTGTATCTTTTCAAATGGCACTTAACAGTTGATTAATGACAAGTACTAGGTTGACACATTTTAAATGTCYGAGGACCAAAATGGCACTAAACCCAAAGTACAGAGCAAACAACTAAGTCTACTGGGCCTAGCATGAGCTGCCAAATAAAGACATGACCTAAAAGTGGAGTGGCAAATGGATGGATTGGGTTGGGTTGGGTTGGGTTGGATGAAAATTGAACGCCAACCCATCCACCAACCACCCACATCTTTTCATAGCTTATATCTCTAATTTGTACATCAGTTGCAACCCCATGTAACCCATACCTAACCTAAAGCATCCATGTTGACCATTAGAAGATGCAAAGGGTCACTTATAGAAACACCGCCTATGGTTTCACATATTTTCTAAAACTTACCCTTGTAGTTTGAATATTACTAATAAGACACCTCATTTTAAGAGGTCATATGACCATTCTCAAACATAAAAAAAAATAAAAAATAAAAATATACAAATAGTTACAAGGTCAATTAAGTAAAACTTGCATGTTAGAAACTATAGAGCGTGTTTTCACTAATATGTAGACCATAGAGTAGGTTTTACTGAATATGTAAAACCATAAGGGGTGTCTAAGCAAATGACCTATGTAAACCAATCTTTGTTGAGGAAAACAATCTCTTGATTTYTACTATAGTGACATATGTCCTTATCTAATTGGTTCAACCCAAATATCAAAATTGGATTTCATTAAAAAATAGAGAGGGAAAGGAGATAAAGGAGAGAGAAACCACATAGAATAGTGAGAGGAGAGAGAAAATTGAAGGAACAGTGAAGTGGGAGGGAAGAAAAAAAGAGAAATATAAGAATAGAAAAGATTGAAGGGGAGAGAAATAAAAGATGAGAGAAGAGATGAAGTGAAATGCATGAGTGAAGAGAGAGAAACCCATGAGAGAGAGAGAGAGCTTCTTATTTTATGTAATTGATCCACATGAATGCACGTAACCCAACCCCTTTTATTTGATCCAAATAGGCCAGTTAACCCATATTCAATCCCATTAAAGAGTTTGATTGGATCATAGGTGAGTTGGGTCAAAAATTGAAACCCCTACGCCATGTATAAGATTGTAAATGTCTTTGCTTAGAACATAACAAATGTGATTAAGTGGCCTTGGGACTCCCGCATGTGATGTTATCTATAGACAATTCCATTGTAGCCAAACAAACTTGGTTCCTACACTAGGAATTGTGTACTGCTTTGCACTTTACAATTTTTTATGATGATGATGGTAAAGTAAATAATATGTTTTCAAAATTTATCTCATTTATTTTTGTTTAATATGATAAATATATGATATTAGAGATGTGTCCAAAACTTTAAATGTCTTTTATAATTTTTTTCTAGTTTTTATACTTTTGTTGTTTTCATCATTTTTAATTATTATTATTATTTAATTATGACATCAAGGGTTTTACACATTTAACATAAAAGGTTGAATTGTTGACTTACTACCAAATAGGAAAATAACTCCGTTTTGGGTTGATTTTAAATTTGTATTTTATTTCTACCATCAATAAAATAATTATTCTTTGGCACACTTATTTTTTTAATATGGTCAATTAATACAACTGTTAATGAAAAATGCGAGTTAGTACCCTAAATATAAGACTTAATGATAGGGAATTGAATGAGAAGTGTAGTAGTCCAAATTAAATTTTATGTCCTCATAATTGGAGAGACCAAATTTAAAAATAGGGGTATTTTAGTCAAGAATAGGATTCAATGAATGTTATTGAGAGTTATTAGGTACCTTAAATATAAGACTTAATGGGAAGGATTTGAATGAAAAAAAAAAAATGGATGTTGAAATTACTCTCTCTCTCTCTCTCTCTCTCTCTCTCTCTCTCTCCCTCACGTTCCCAATCACTTAGCCAATCCCCTCCTATAAAATTTCTCCTAAGCTATATGTCCCACGTAAAACACCTCTTAATCTATATTACATCCCAATAAACTCCATAAAAAATAAAAACATGGTAAATTAATTTGAGTAGTTAAATTAATTTGTGAAATATTTTCATATTTTCATATTTTCATATTTTCAATATTTACTGATATTATCGAATATTGTTTACTAAATATCAACACCTAAACTATAAGTTTTCGTAATTTTAGTAAATTGGAAATTTTAATTACTAAAAATTACTGATTTTCGTAATTTAATTTCAAAAAAATTTGATTATTAATTATTGAAATCAATAATTACTGAAAAATTAATAATTAATTAAAATACCGATAAATAAAATTTATGCTTTTACATTCTTAGTAATTTTGATATTATCGGTATTTTCTAGAAATAAGTAGTTATTGATATTTTCAGTAATTGTTTTCAAATTATTAATATTTAATAATATTATCAGATAATAATTAAAATTTTCTAGTAATTTTTTAGTGGAAAATTAATATATAAAACATTTACATTTTCAGTAACTTTGATATTATAGTAATTTTTAGCAATAATCAGTTATTGATATTTTCAATAATTTGGTTAATATATTAATATTTAATGATATTATCATATAATAATTAAAATTTTTCAATTATTTTTTAGTGGAAATTTAAGTTTAATAAATATAAATTGATTTTTTATTTTTAGTAATTTTGATATTTACTATAATTTTTTATCAATAATTAGTTATTTTAGTAATTAAATTTAATGAAATTAAGTTAAAAAAATTCTAATTATTCAAATAATTAATTGGAAATCTTTAATAATTTTCATAAGTATTAGATACTATATTTATAATTACCTTAATTATTCAAACTATATTTATGGGTTTGGGGGTGTTATGGGTTTGGGGGATGACCCTAGGTAGGAATGGCAATGGATGGGTTTGGGGCAAGGATCATACTCCCTGTCCCAACCCTGAGTTTTAAATTAATCTATTTTTTCCAACATCAATCCTCATCAGGAAAAAATTTAGCATACATCCCTAGTCCCAGATGGAGATGGGTTCCCAATCGAGGACCTAAATCTCCAAATTTTTAATTAAAAGTTTATTTTCATTAAGGTATTTGTTTAAAATAAAGTAAAAAATTAAAATGAAAATAACATTGTAAATATATTTTGATTTATATATATAATATAAATAATATTTTATATTCAATATAATATATATACAAATATATTTAATATATATAATCAAGGTTAGGGTGGGGTGTGGACTTCACTCCCTGTCCCTGTCCCTGTCCCCATCCCCACCCCATTCCCACCCTATCCCCACTAAAGCAGTCTCCATCTCCATCCCTGCTTGGTCGGGGAGGCTAGGTACTTGGTAGGGTTGAGGAAAATTTCCATCCCTACCCCTGGATTGTGTAGCCCTGTAGAGCAATAAGTTTTAAGTTCAATATGTCCTAACATCTTTTTTCTATTAATCATGCGGGGCCATGCTATCTATCTATCTATCTATCTATCCATATATATATAGCTTTTTGGGTGGGATCCACCTCATAAAGCCAATATCTGCCCCTTGAAAGTCCTCCCAAACAAGCACATAGTCGCTTCTCTAAAGCAATTCAACCAAAGCTTCAACCCTTCCAAATGGTATTGGTCGAAGCTCTTCCAATACCATGTCTTTTATGCATTATAGATTTTCCCATTTAATAATGGTGCCAACAAGTCTAGATCAGCTCCTCACAGCGTGTTCCTCGCAATGATCTCACAGCATGTCAGCCTCACTTGGAAACATTTCTTGTATTTACATGTTTACATTTATGGAAAATTGTTCTCAATGCATAGTGGGAAGTGCAAGTCAGTGTGAAGAGTGCTATTTGAGGAACAAATCCCAATTAAGGCAGAGCCACCAGCAACCCCCAAATGCAAGAAGACCATTCAGAACAATAGTATAAGGTTTTTAGGCAGCATTTAGCAAGTCTTTCCATACAATCTTCGGGGCTTTGGAAAGCTTGAATGATTGAAATTTGGTCTTTTTCCGTATGGTAACAAAAGACACAAATTTTGTTAGAAAGATTATGAGACACATGCACGAAAAGATTGAAAACACCGAATTTTGAGAAGCTTTAAGTGAAGCTTTACCTTCAGGTCTTTCAGCATGATAGATATCCTCTAAACATAGTTTTAAAAGCTCGATAAATCGAACCACTTACTAAATGGTTTTTGTCTTTAAAGATAAGACCCCGAAAATTCAATGTCTTTTGGCCATCTGAACTGTTGGAAGATCTTTCTAAAAAGATTTTGCCAAAACAATACGAAAATGTTTGTCTCGTCTGAGACTAACCTAAATGATATTCAATTTAGACTATTTTGGTCTGAATTAGGATTTCATTAATTTATTTTGTATCAAGCATGTCAACCCCAGTTTGCAGCTGACCCAAAGAAAAAAATTGCAAAAAGAAAAAGAAAAAAAAAATAAATGAACCCAGAAGTACTGATTTTTATGTGTCTATTGGGCCTACTTTTACAATTACCGAGTTGTTTTTGTAGAGTGGCTCTTTGGTCTTGGTTTTGGGTGGGATTGAGAGATTTTTCAGAGAACATTAGGATTGAACTGCTTGAGGAGTTCTGATCAAAACCCATTTATCTGCATTCTACTGTAAGTGTTGTGAGAACCGTGTGAGAAAAAGAATCCAGTCTCATCTAACACCAAGCCCCAATTTTAAATAGATTTGTTGGTTTAGAATTCYTGCACAAATAACCTTGTTTTGGTGATTGCCCTTTGTTCTCTGAAGAAAAAAAATAATAAAAGGAAGAGAAATACCTGCAGAGGCTGCGTTAACAGCATCCCCCTTAGAATTCCTGGTGTGAAGAACAACCTTTGTTCTATAGTTAGTATGAACAGCATAGAACTCAGAAAGCGCCATGTCGATGCAGACCCGGGCCATCTCCCCGACTGTAGAATTCAAATCGAGAACTACACCGACAGGAATCGGAGATGTTGTTTTTGGACTTCCATTTTGACCAGTCCCCAGCACAGATAAGCAACAGACTCTCACCATGACAAAGCAGAAGAGGCACAACTGTGCTGGCTTCAACATTTCAAGAATCTTGAGTGCTCATGTATCTAGTCAGTCATCTCATCACATATAAATAGAGTGGAAATTTCAGTTATATTCAATTCCCTCTGATTTCAAAAAAAAAAAAAAAAAACTTCATGGACCCAATTTTTATTTATTTTTTTTTGAACCCCCAAGTGTGGCATATATTTTCATGTCACTCTCATTCATTTCCTATGAATCGGTCAGGTCAACGAAACTGATTTTTTGGGGGGAATAAAAAGTAGGATGAGTTGGGCTTTTATGCTTTTGAAATGGGTAATTTTGGTAATCTAATCCTTTTATTCAGTTGGGCTTTTATGTTTTTGAGCATTTAGGTTCAGAGAATGAGGAGGGTTTTAAGAAGACAAGGGATCTCAAAAGCATTTTCCAATAATAGGGGAAGCTATGAAGTTTTTAGGGTGGTCACTGGTCAGTGAAATTTCTGCAAATTTTAAATATTACTGTCGAATAACATTTGAACACGTGGAAAAGGAAAACTGAAATGAATGTTCTTCATAAATTGTGAGAGAAGGTATATATAATTCTCTGGGCAAAGTATGAGCCAGATAATGAGATAAATACTGAAAAAATCAAAAAAGTTTATTCGACTTTTCTGTTAGAAAGACAAAAGAAGGGAAGCAGCTTTCATCGTACATATTAAATGCAAACGCGTAAATATGCTTTGTCATGACTCAAGACTTGAACAGGGAGACTAGGAAGGATACAGTGCAAAATGGCGTTACGTTTTTCATTGGGTATCAAGCCACACAACACCATTCACCTATTTTCTTATAAATAAGTAGACATAAACTTGCCACGTATGAGGATATAGTTTGAGGTGTTTTATGTTTAAACTCAGAATAAAAAGAAAATTCATGTGGCCATCGCCAATATGAACTATTTATATATTGACTTACGTTGTATTTCATACTATTGTTATTTCTACTTGTAATGGTTTAGGTTTAAATTTAAGTTTTATGTATTTTAACACTTGATGACTTGGCGAGGCAAGTGTCGGTATCCGTTAATTCAATAATTTGTATGTTAGGTAGGGGTGAGCAAAAGAACCGAAAAATCGAACTGATCGAAAATGAATCGAAAAATTGATTAATCGAATCAGTCGATTTGGTTTTAGTTCAGTGTTTTCTAAAAAAACCAAAGTATTGGTTCAATTTCGATTAACTAATATAGAAAATCGGTGATTAATCGAACCGACTGATATACATATATTTCTATATATTTTATATATTTTTTATATATCATAAACTAATTAATATGCATTATATATAAATATATATATATATATATAATATATAATATATTATTCATTATTTAAAATATAATATTTTATATACATTTATAATTTTTTATTATATATTTATATATTTTTATAATATATGTTATAAAAATTAAAAAACCGAAAAATTAACAAACCATAGTTTTAAAACCGATCTAAACTGATTTTTGGATTAAATGGCCTGATCATTCAGTTCGAACCCTAGTAGGCAATTTTGGGTCCAAAACCGGACCCGGAGCCATGACCGTCCAACCAGTTCAACTGTAATCCATCCAGTAGCTCGACCCCAAATGTCACATCCGTGCGAATTTTCTAAACATGCTTTGGACTAGCAAAATAAAAATAGATAACAAGTCAACAAGCGGGGCAAGAAAGCCAGACAAGGTATTAATGAAGAGCAAATTAGGCCAAGGAAATTGGACCTAGTTTTCTAAGAATTCGTAAATTAATAAAGATACGTCTGTCAACTGGCGGATTGGAAAGGATTCAAGCATGGTTTTCAAAATCAGAATGGACCGGACAATCGGACCGGAAAAATCAAGAATCGATTAGGTGACCGTTTCCACATTTTTTTAAAACCAGATTTTTGTCAAAAACCGTTGATTTTGGTCAATAAACCACTGATTTGGGCGATTAACTGTTTGAACTATTGAATGGTTTTGATTGTTTTTTTTAATTTTTTGTCAAAACTGATCAATCGTTCAGTTCKWACGGTCGGACCATTCAACCTAGGAATCGGACCCTTGACTGGTTCGTTCTCCGGGTTGATTTTAAAAACCTTGGATTCAAGATAATGTTTCCCGCAATGATGGTCGATCGTTGTTGGACAAAACCAAGACCCCCAATGATTTTTGAACACACCAGTGTTGGTGAAAAAGGCAAAATATCATAGTTTTCAAAATCGGATTGGACTGGATGGTTGGATTGGAAAACTGGGAACTGGTAAGGTGATCGGTTTCGTTTTACCCTAGAACCATTATTTCCCTAAAAATAGTTGATTTGGTCAGCAAACCACTGACTCGGACAGTTAAACTGTTCGAACCATTCAATGGTTTGGCCGATTTTTATTTTTTTTATTTTAAATTTTTTTTGTCAGAATGAGCCATCCATTCGGTTCGAATGATCGGATCATTCGACCCGAGAACTGGACCCTTGGCCGATTCGTTGTCTGATTCAGTTTTAAAAACCTTGCAAAATATCATATCAAATTGGTGTTTAATTAAAACACTGACATGTCTAAAATCACGAGGGGTTTTGGGGTAACTGCAATGACGGTCGCAAGAAATGTGGTCTCATCTCTTGGGATGAAATCCTGTTTGCAGTAGGGTTGGGGTTATGGATTTGAGGGATGGGCTATCCCCGTGACGTCAAAAGATTTTCCCAAAAAAGAAAGAAAACGAAAATAACAAGATAATACGTTTGCAGAGGATTCTCAAGTCTTCTAGTCGTGGTGCTGGTGCTGAGTTTACTTCATTTTATCAAGCAGTTTGGTATATGTCCGGTTGTCATATTTTTTTGTTTTCTCAGTTTCATGTTGGTATTCAGTTTTTAGCTTCTGGTTGTATTGCTGATTGTATGACCTCAATTGTATTCTGAGCGTTGATGAATGAATTCATCCTTAGTGATGCAAATGGGTCGGATTCTTACCTGGTTCAGTTCGAGATCTAATCCTATTTTGTTAGATTCAGATCCCCCCTTTCCCGTTTGGATCTTTGAATTGAATTGGACCAAAAAATATGATCCGATCAGAAATTGGATACGATTCAGATCACCCCTATCTGATTCGAGAAGATCTGGTCCGATATATATGTTATTTATTTATTTATATGAATATATAAAACATATATATTTTATTTATTTATACAAATATATTATTTATATTGCATTTTTGTAAATTTGTTATATTTTTTATAAAAAATATGTATATATATGATGAAAGTAGTTGAAAAGATACTTGTATTTTTTGTTTTTCTTTTTTTAAATTATTATATTTTATTTTTCTTTTAATAATTTATTAATTTTTTAAGAAATTTAAATTGGATTGGATCAGATCCAATCAGATTGGTCAAGTGATACATAGGAAAAATAAATTCTCCATGGACCCCACATAAATATGAGAAAAATACATGATATCTTTGTCAATGAAAACCAAAATTCCATTGACCAACTTTCCCCCTTCTCAAAATCCAAAAAATGTAGGGCCCTAAAAGATAATTAAATACAAATTGATTTGCATTTGAAACCAGTCTCTCTCTCTCTCTCTCTCTCTCTCTCTCTCTCTAATCCAAGAAAAGACAAATTCATTTATTAAGAAATTTAGGGTCCATTTGGTTCACAATCAAAATTAGAATTGGAATTGGAATCAGAATCAAAATGGTCTATTCTCATAGTCTATTTGGTTCAAACAGGAATGAGAATGGGAGTGGGAATTGGAATCAACAGGAATGAGATTTCATTCCCAAGGGAGGGGCAGGAAATGGTCATTCCCTCAAATGGGGGAATGCTATTCTAGCAGGAATGGGAATGTGATTTTGATTCTACCCAACCAAACTGTTGGAATTGGAATAGCCCATTCCGATTCCGATTCCAGACCCCTATTCCTCCAAACCAAACGGGGCCTTAGTACCACAATACAATTCACGGTCCTGAGAACAGCAGTCTGCAAAAAATTTGGGGAAGTTGACCAAGTTGAAACATTCCTAGAACAACTCCTGTAAGCAAGGAAATGGGATGCAACTTTCCTAGAACAAGAAGAGTGATTGACTTGTACAAGGGTGAGCCTGGCAAACAGCCTGTACCATTGGGCATAGAAAGTAAGTTTAAAAAAGAGGTCATTTACTAGATCACCCCCTATTGTTTCACCGATTTATTTAAATCAATCTTATAATTTTCATTTTACTAAAACACCCTTATAGTTTGCAACCTATTTACTTAATCAACCTTTCATCAAGAAGTGTTTGTTTTGCCTTCTAAAATAGTAATATTATCATTTAAATGTAGTGGAAAATATTCAAGGGCATCGGTCCATAATTGTTTATTTCATATAAGTACTCCTAAAACTTCTTCATATAAAGAATAAAATTGACCAAATATAAACAAATAGAGTAGTTTTCCATGTCTTACCAGGGGCAAAATTGGTATTTTCATTTTTATTTTCTTTTGCTTAAATCATTAAAATGGACATTAGGATCAAAATTATCATTTCCATTGTTATCTAATGAAAGGTCAATGAAGTAAACCAATTGCAAACTACAAAGGTGTATTTTAGTAAATCACAAACTATAGCGTAGGTTTTAGTAAATCTATGAAATTATATGGGATATTTTAGTATATGACCCAAAAAAAAGGAAAAAAATAAATATAATTAACACAAAAAAGGAAAAGGGAAACATTTTCATTTTTTGGTATATATAATTTTTTTTTTGTATTCGGTGTCATGCACCATTAATAACTTCCCCCTTACCCCTTTTTCCCAAAGTACTAATTGCGGGGATTTGATTCTATGTCAATGCTGAAACAAACCAGCTAACACACCAACGAGTAAGCCCTAGGTTGTTTATATATATAATATATGGTAACATACACATAAAAATTAAAAATAGCATATATATAATATGTGAGATCAGGCCACAATAACCCCGCAAAACCATCTTGATTTAGGTAGCCGCAGCAATGTCTTCACTTTATATGCCTCACTTTATATGCCAAATAGCTGGTAGAAATGGTCAAGTTCTCAACATACAGCCAATTATACTCTAAGGACCATTGCCATCTTGGAAAACAACATTCAGAAACAAGAAAAGCCTTTAATGGAGATCGTTTATATAGGAAAAAAAAGTACCTTCTAGAGAAGTTGAAGGGTGAGGGAACCCCTAAATCATCTCTTACAGTCGATCTCACTGCCTTTTGTGTGTGATTCTGTTCTAGAGAAGTTGGACATGTGTTTTTCTCTGTTCTTTTATCTTTGTTGGGACTTTAGAGAGAAAACTTTTGATCTTTTTAAATTTGAAGTATACTGGCTTTTAGGCTATGTTTGGTTTGAAGGAAAATGTAGGGAAAGGAAGGGAAAGATAAGGAAACCTTTACAAACCTTGTATTGATTTTCCTGTCTTTCCCTTCCTTTCCCTACCTTTTCCTTCAAACCAAACATAGCCTTGGGGGTGTTCTTTTTTCGGATTTTGAAAGGGGGGAAAGTTGGTCAATGGGATTTTGGTTCCCATTGACCAAGAATCTCATGTTCTTTATTCAGATTTATGTGGGGACCGGGGAAAGTTTATTTTCCTGGGTAACACTTATCTGGGTAAGTGATACACATTTCCTAGGTGGGTAAATAACTTTTCCACGTAGGGGGAAAGTTGCCAACAGTTGAATGGGACAAAAACACCCCTTTTAATAATGGATTTTTATAGCTAAAATGGTCATTACCTTATTTATATGAGAAATAAAAGAACATGGATAAATGGCTAAATGCACTTACCCAAGTAACTGCATTTACCTGGGTAAGTAACTTTCGGAAAAGTGAACGGGCCTTAATGGTAGATGATACGTGCACGCCTGTTTGTTTTTCTCAAACCATTTGAATGCTCAATGTGGTGACTTTGACATCAAGCATAGAAGTGTAATGTTGGCCAGGCTGGGCCGGGATGACCCACCAGCCTGTGGGCCTGGTGGGCCGTGCCTGCCTGGCACAAATTCCCCAAGAGAGAAGCCCAGTACGGCCCAAGGCCCGGGCCCAGTGAGCTGCGGGCTGAGCCATGGGCCAATATGATCTTTTAAGAAAAATAGAAAAAAAATGAAAAATTAAAGTAAATTAATAAGAAAGACTAAAAATTGAAAATATATATATGTTAAAATTTGATTCCATATGAATATATACAATTGTTTATATATGAAATTGAAAAAAAAAATTATAATATATATAATCGTTATTACAATTTGTCTCAACATAATGAGCTAAGGAATTACAATTTCTAGATACATGCCTCACCATTACATTTAGACAGGTGTTCAATAAGAATCTACAATCTCTAATAACGATAGAGACTCTCCAAGTTAGTTCCTTATCTTGGGATAACAGAAGATTGACTAGTGCCTTCTTATCAGATTCCACAATCACTTGGGTTTCTTCTTGGTTCTTGGCCATCTTAATGCCCTTGTAGATTGCCGGCGCTTCAATTTCTTCAGCAGTGCAGGCCTGGATATGTTGATTTTCTTTAGATGTGTCTGCCTTGTTTGTCACGTGCCAATACACCCGCTCCAACACTGGTTGCTCCATCTACATTGTAGAAGATGGTATAGATGTTTTATTTGAATATTATATCCTAGGATTAAAAAAGATGGTATAGATGTTTTACTTGAATCTTATTATGATAATATGGAAGTTGATCCTGGAACAAAAAAGATGAAGTGAAAAATTTATTAATTGGAATGTATAGTATTTATGAATCACAAGCATTAGGATATAGGAGAGTTTGTACAAACTCCACGATTGGAACCACTAGTTCTAATAGTGGATTAGATAAAATTTGGTCATTAATAAATAAAAGGCAACAATCAATTGCCATTTCATCAGCAATTCATTTACTGAGCTTGATTTTTATTTACAAGGTAGTTTAAGAGATTTCCTTCCCTCTGAGGAATTATATAGTTTTCATATTTTAACTTGTTGAAAAGAATATCGAAAAAATTATCCAATGCTTACCACCATGGCACATGATCTATTAACCCTTCTGGTGTCTACAGTTCCATCAAATCCTTGTTTTAGTGTTGGTACTGGGGTACATATTAGATGTGAAGAGAAGTTGCATGAATGATGAAAGCCTAGATATGTACATATAGCTTGATGTAGATGAGAAACTACAAGATTAGGGAGGACATGGCACTTCAACTGATGGTGGCTCACTAAATGTAGATGATGCAAATCAAGATCAAGGAGATGGGAGAGGTGGAACTTGAAGTCGAAGAAAATATTGAAGTTAATATTTTTTGTGTGTTCAATAATTGTACAATATTTTTAAATTATTGTAAATTTTGTTTATCAATTTAATTTAGAAGTTATTTCTGATTTTTTCAATGCCACTATAATTTTTTATTTTCAATTTTATTATATTATGTTATTCTAATTCCATTTTAATTTTTTTTCAAATTAATTTTATTATTTCATATAAGGTCAATTATATGCATTAAACTCAAATTAAATAAAATTTTTGGATTGTTTTCACTTTGCTGTCTATTTTCTATTTTGTTAAGTATTTTCTGTTAATTTTTTTTTCAAAATGTTTGCCATTTTTGCTTGGCAAAAGAAAAAAAAAAAGTGGAAATACCTAGAAAAAACTTTGAAAAAGGTCCAAGCCTATGGTTTGGCCCGGCCCAAGCCTGGGACGTGACATGGCACGGGCCATCTTGGCTTGTGTCTTGGGCCGTGAAGAGGGGTCCGGGCCAAGTAGGCATGGCCCACTTTCGCCCCGATTGCCACCACCACAAAACCCACTACAATGTGCGCTACTCGCAAAAGTAGGCCATGTCGGCACATATCACACCTCTATAGGATGGTAAGATCTCAAATACATAAGCATTTAGACATTTATTGGGCTGATCCACCAAAGTCCATAATAGATATGTGTGAATTGGCCATATGGGCTGTTCACTTTTAAGTGGCCCACCCCACCCAGTTAAGTGTAAGTGCATGGGTTTAAGTTGCTTTTCTCATTAATCTAGAATTAATTGGATGCTAGAAGTTAATTAGGAGTTTTTCTAAAATGGCCTAATCAAACTACGAATAAGAAAGTCAAATTGGTCCAATCCAATATGTCTTATTGGTCCATCCAATCCGTCTAAATTAATTTTGAACTAGATAGGGTCCAATCCAAAACCGATCCATTTACACCCTTACCATCAATGACCACATACAGAAAGGAAACATGTTTGAGATGTGCAGCTATAGATCATATTGGAAGCAATAATGTTGGTGGTGTCTCGTGGATAGTAGATCTGGACTCCCGAGTCTAGGGACACAGGACCCATAATGCCATCTGTCATAAAGTACCAGGACCCACCATTGAACGGTTCTCATCTAGGAGAAGTGATCAAGTAGGCCAAAAATCAGTTTAAGTTCTTATCCAAAATGGCAAAAGACTATGCGGCTTTCGTAGGATCGTGCTAAGCACGGGCGAATAATACTGAATAATTGAAAGAGTAAAAACTGAAAAAAATTAATAGCAAATGGCAATTACATCTTTAGGCAATCCCAGTTCTTGATTCTTACTTAGTAATAGAAACAATACAGAATAAAAAGAAATTAGTTTATATAAGAGGTATTCCTTTAATAACATCCATACAAATTTTTGAAGGATAAATTAGATTGTTTAGTGGAAAAAGAAGAAAGGTTTACAATTAGGAGATATGATGTCTACTAAATAGTGAATAACTCCAATAATTTCAAAAATTAATGTTTGCCCATCTGGTTGACCATTTCTTGCTTGGTTACTTGGTGTTTTACTTTCTCAATCCCACACTTGACCTAGACTATTGGATCCCTTCTTCCATGGCTCCACCAATCTGTTGCTAGCAACAATTCCCAGGTGCAAGTTGTTCTCCTGGATAAAATAAAGGACACATTATTTTGTGTTGAAAAATTAAAAAAGGATATAGAAATTTTGGGGCCCGACATTTTTTTGTAGATGATTAAAAGCCAAATAGAAAACACAAATTTTGTATCAAATATCGTATAAAATTAACTTCATCCATATTAGATTAATTCCCAACTAAAAAAGAACTCTCTTCTAAGCTCCGCTTATGCTTCCAAAAAATAACATAACACAACAGGCTAGGAAAAAGCATAGATACAATTCTAAGAAGAATAAGGATATTATCCAACATAAAATAACTTTTCCTTCGAACTTAACCTTCTATAATATAAAGAAACCCAATGAATGAGTCCAAAGGATAAAAGGCAATACAAATAAGAAGCCTTAAATAACAGAACAATGTAACTTTTCCTCTGAAATTACCTTTTCGGGGCATTCATAATCTCGTAGTAGAAGACAGAGAAGCTGAGGATGAGACCTACACAGATGGAATGAATTGAGGGAATATTTATAATTTTATATTTGTTGTTTGAAGCAGCCTGATAAATGACAAATAGAAAGCCAAAAAAATGAAATATTCAAAGATTACAAGACAAGAATTTACAAGGTAATAAATGAAATCCCTATGAAAATGTATTCAGCAAATGTGTGAGGGAGAAGAAAGAACCAGGTAACCATTCAATGACTGTTTTAGTAGATCTAATTTCATAGACCTGCAAGATAAACAATTAATCATGTTAGAGAGAGTGATAGGCAAGGAGAATAAGCTTATCCAGATTCAATAGGAGAAGAAATATGAGAAGTTGGTTATGCCATGAATTTATTTAGGAGTAGAAGCATTAATTGAATTGAATTAATTAATGCTTGAAATTTTGATAGATTTATTTTTCTATAATGTTTCTTATTTGTAAAAGCCATCCTCAGATAGGTATGTGATTTCTTCATCTTCTCTTCTAACACCAAAAGAAAGAAAAAGCTCAATCTCATCTTCTTCCTTATTGTCTATGACTATTTAATTACTCTCTCTCTCTCTCTCTCTCTCTCTCTCTGCAATCTATAGAGCATATAATGCGGAGATACAACCTATCATTCAATGTTTTAGATAATGAAATTATAGAACAAAGCCAATCAAAACAAATAATGAGCTGTTCATCAAAGATATCTTACATAGTTTTTAACTTTTCAAATCTTTATAATTATAAGAGGTTCTGTTTTATACATCTACAGTCTATTTGTAGGTGCACAGATCTTTCTGTAAACAGGCAACCATCTCAATATAGAAGGAGATTCCTAAGTTCATAAGAAGCCTAATTGCCAGTTCACTTCTTGAAAACCAAATCRATAAATGTGCATAAAATTTTATAAATGGAAATGCATTCGATATGATAAATAAGGTGATCATTAAACTATGGATATRTATCAAGTCTTGGCATCTCAAACGGAACAAGAAAACATAATATACACATATGCATATGTCACAGAGATAACATAAAAGCCATACACACCTGTGGCTAGCAGGCACTCAAG